TCGGCAATAAGAGCTGGCGTGCTGCACACCGGGCTTGGGTGTGGGACAGGGCTCTCATGTCCCCATGGTCAGCTGCCCTACCAGAAGCCCAACCATAAGGACAGCTTGAGTGTTTTTTCTTTTTGTTGTGGAAACCACACTTCTTGCTAATGTCTCAGAGGTTCTATCTTGTCAAAACGGATGCATATTTTGAGATAATTTCTCAAGGAACTGTGAGACACTGCAGGAGCATCACAGAAGGGGCATGCAGGGGGCTGTTCACACGATGGCCTCACACGAGTGACTTGCGTGGGTGCCTCTCTGCCCGTGCAGAGACACTTTGTCACCAGCTAGAGCGGAGTGACACCAGGCCCTAGTGATGGTAGCCCCAGCTCAGCAGGCAGCAGAAGGGCAGAGTCCCCATGAGCACAGCCCTGCTAGGAGGCTCTGGGGGCTCCAGGAACTGGCCAGCAGGTTGACCTGAGCTCGCCAAGAGCAGTGACCTACCGGGAGCACAGCGGGAAGGACACAGGCTGCAAGAGCAAACTGTATCATCATGTACCAGTGCCTTAATCCGCATGCACATGGCCTTCAGTGTCATTGTAAATAATACTCCTAATAAAGAGCCAATTAGCCTAACAATCTAATTACTATCCAGCATGCTGGGTAGGAAGCACTGGCCTGCGGCGTAACAGAGCAAACTTGGGTTCTTGGCCGCACATTTCACACGACAACGTATAGAGGCACAATGCAGCCTGCATAGATGTGCAAAAGCAGAGCCACGTGGAGGGCTGAGGGGATGGTGCACAGCCTCATAAAGGTCTCACAACCTGGAGTATTTTATCACCCCTCCACAACATGCAGGAATAACAGCCAAAAGATACGAGACCCTCTGGGCTCTGCCCCCAGCCAACCCTGTGCTGGGGCAGAGCTCAGAGGGAGAGGGGACACAGGACAGGGAAGGCACCCAGGACGCGGAGCCAGGGGCACCCCGGGACATGGAGGTGCAGGATCACCACTATATGCAGGGACATGGGCCCTGCTGGAATGGTGGGAGGATGAGGGAAAAAGCAGTCAGAGATGTGCATGTGGATGTCTGTGCCTGGATGTGAGAGGAGCCCGGAGCAGGCGACACTTTGCCAAAATCATGTAAGGGACATTTGCACAGAGGCTGCTCAAACTGCGCCTGGCTCAGGCGACTATGGAAATTCACAGCGAATTACAATGTGAGATCTAGTGATAAATGAAGTAAGACATTAAACAAAAGAAATCTTTGTCTCACGCACATCTCTCAAACCTTGGCCTTCCATTTCTTTCCCTTTACAGAACTGAAAAAAAATATCGTCCTGGTGGATTTTGGAATTGCTTGCATGTAAATCATCCTCTTAGGCTTGGGCATCTCAGACTGGGTTCAGCCTGAGTGACTTTTTATAGCTGAGTTATAAACTTTTAAATGCCAGACTTAATCAGAGCTACTGAGATGGCCATTACAGGAGTGGTTTAAGTGGCATAGCCCTGATATATGATAGCAGAGAGGCAGGCAGGTGGCTCAGGCACAAGGGCTGTGTAGCTGGTAGGGAGCAGGCTCTGGTGGCTAGACGAGGGCAGGGCTGAGACACAGCTCTCCAGCATTTTGCCCTTGTCCAACTCTTCCACGACCTCAAGCAAGTTTCTGTGGGCTGCCCTTAAAAAACAAGTCTCAGGCCAAAATCTCAGTGCAGACTATGACTCCTCGAGCCTTGGTTTCCCCAGCATGCTAGCAAGGAGGCAAACATCTAAATGTCTTTCTCGGGAAGTTGCAAAAATTGCTGGTGAACTGGCCTAAGGTATACACAGTGTTGTGCAGACTCAAAAAAAAAAAAAAAAAGGAAAAAAAAAAAAAAAAAGCAAAAGCAAATGCATTGCAAAAGCAATGTGGTTGCAAAAGCAACCACAGACAAAATAACCCTGACCAATTATAATCACAAATGCATTGGACACGGAAGAGTCAAAAAGCCTCAGGGCCTAAGTCCCCCCACCTCTTAGCTGTGAACCTGAGCATCCCCCCTGCTGCTTTGCAGCATCCCTGTGGTCTAAGCAGAAGTGGCCAGTCACTAGTGTGAGAGCAGCTGTTTGGACGGAGCCGTTGATCTGAATGAAACCAGCACAGGAACTTTTCAGGGTGTTCTTTCTAAATTTATTCATGTATTAAACAAACAGAAATTACAGCATGCATCGGATACTTTTCTTTATTGTACAACAAAACTATGGACTTGTTTGTAATTGCAGCATTTCCAGCAACATCAGGCAGACTTGTCGATGTTATCCAGTTTTGCACAGTCACTAGAGTGTTGCATCATGAATTATTAAATCAGTGCTTCGTGGTAATACATAATTTCTTATCAATTATTCATGCTAATGTGTGTGTAGTTTACTTAATTGTGTTATTGACGATCAAAAGTAATTTCCTGAAAATCCTCAAGGACAGAAAATTTAATCAGCGTAACTACTTTTCAGATGCAATGCTGTTAAGTATTCTTAATTTGCTCAACAATTCACTTATTTATGTACCTTTCTGGAGGAAATACGAGTTTAATCAAACAATTAGATTGAAGAGTTAGTGTACAGAAGGGCTGAAGTTCAACTAAATGCAAGGTAATTATGTTGAAATGAAGTTGGGCCTGCCTATATGGAGTGGATTTTTTCCTTTATTTTTGGCTATGAGTATCTAGATAAGAAAATATATTTGAAAATATCACTAAAAAAAAAAAAAAAAAGGTGAATTTTCTCTTCTCCAACTGACCCCCAAAATCTATAATTTTAGAAGGACAGAAAAGGCGATAACACAGTGGGGTAAGTGCAGAATACAATGATTCTGTTCTATAGATGGGGGTTGTGCTGGAATTTCCTCTGGGAATTTCCTCTGTGATTGGCTTGCAGGTGCCCAGAGAAAATGACTCCCATCTGTGGGGGCTGCCAGGCCTCCCAGAGGCCAGTGCTGCCCATTCCTCCCTTCCAGCACACACCAATACAGACCCTGTCCTGCAGAAAGGGCACTGCGCCCCAGAGCAGGAGGATCTCATGAGTCCCAGGCAAGTCTCATGTTCAAGCCCAAGAAATTCCTGGGAGTGGGGCAACCTTTGTGCTGCCAGACTGACTTTTGTCCTTCTAAGCACATCCTTGAGCCAGATCTGGTGAGATGCTGAGCACAACCCAGCACAGAAGTGTGCGCACAGCACGTGGCAGGAGGTCCTCAGCACAACACACAGGATCAGTCCCAAGTGGGGAGCATCAGAAAAGCTTGGACTGGTAATGCAAACCTACCGGCTCCATTAGCTGGGTTTCTGTGCCAAAATCTGCCCATGGCTTAAACAGTACAATTTTTAGGCCTGTGGTGCAGAGCATCTCATTTGGCACAGGGCATTTTTCTCATGAAGGACCTGATCTGAAGACCTTGGGAGCTCACGGGAAGCTCTCCATTGGTTTCCACATTATTTGGGCAAGTCTATGAGCTGTGGTGCTGACCTGTTCTTCAGCAACAACTGTAGGCAGATCTAAAGAGTCTGCAGCTATAAGAAGCATTTCCATGTCAGCAAGCTTAAACTTGTACCTGCATTACCCACGGGAAAAAAAGGTGGAGCACCCCAGATTAAGATACCTGGTACTTTGTTTGGAGTTGGAAATAAGGGTCTATTTCCTGAAGTGTCAAACTTTCCTTTGTACTGTGCCTATTATCTAATTAAACAACAACAACAAAAAAAAAAAGCAGTAAATGGAACAGTCTGCTTTTGGATGGAATAAAAGAATATCTTTCCAAGTTTTATTTCCTCTTTATTAAAAACACAACATGCAAAGACATACTTGCAATGTCGTAACATAAGATTATTTTGGTTTGTGGTCTTTCTTTCCAAATATGCTTCCAAAATGTCATAGATTCTTTTTTTAAGAACTTATTCAAAGGTCAGAAAATGATGCTAAAACACCCCCAGCTTTGTGCAGGAGGGTATTAATTAAATACCCCCCACTAAATATCAACATTACCATTTGAAGCTATGAACACTGCTCTGGAATCACATGTATCTCTTTATCTAACCCAGGGAATGGCAAGTGTGAAAGACTAAAATTCACATCAAGACTAGTGCAAGGATTTTATTCACAGGTAAACTATCTCAGCGATTTCCCAGTGATCTACTTAATGGCAAATTCCACTTTAGGGAAAGAGAAGGGAGAAGGAAAATTATAACGATTTTCGCTCAATTTTCTGTTTCCCTTAGATCATCTATCTGGGAAGGACTTGGTGGAAGTCAAATGGAAAACAGTAGGTGCAAGGGGTAGTATATACCAGCATATACACAGGTATAGCGTGTGCCCAGCAGAGGTAAAGGAGTCCTGGAAGCCTCTCCTTCCCGTGGAAGCCTGGCCCTGCTCCCAGCCTGCCATGTCCATGCGGGAAGCAGATCCATGGCATCAAGGCCACAGGCAGGATGGCTGCTGGTGGCAGCACGCTGACCCGCTGCAAAAGGGTCTGACAAGGAGTTCAGCCCGTGGTGCCAGCCAGGACACTCTGCTCTGCACCTGGACGCAGGCAGAGATCAGTTGACCCAGGTCCAGGTCCAGACGAGCCAAGGTCTGGCCTACGTGGGACACAGCCTCAGCGGTGTTCGGGCCCAGTCCTGATGCTGAGGAAAGCAACCCTGGGGAGCTGTCATGAGAACTTGAGGACGTGGAGATTGAAAGGGAGCAGGAAAGGCAGCGAGCCCTCCTTTCTGACACTGCTGAGGTGCGAGGGGCCTGGAAATAGTTTCATAGACGTTTGCAAACACAGCCGGTGCCAGTAAATCAGCGGAGTTAATCTACAGAGGTGCAGGATGAGCAGGGCACGCTGCAGGTGGCTGGAAAGGCTGTTGGGGCTTGACATGGGTGCCCTGGTCCCTGGTGGCCCCGTGACATCCAGCTGGTACCAGGCCCTGCTGCCCTCTCCCTGTGGCAAGTCCCGCCATGGGGTCCTCGCAGCGAGCCGAGGCGCTGGCGCAGGCCCGGCCTCATACGCTCTTGTCTCCATCCATGTGTTCCTTGGCCGGACAGGGCTGCTTGTCCGGGCTGCCCGCCGGGCTGGGCTTGGCTGGCGGCGCGGGGCTGCTGCTGGCGGCCGGCAGGAGGTTGGCGGACTGCAGCACGGCCTCCGAGTGCTCCCGCGCCTTCATGCGCAGCGCGGCCACGCTCGCGGTGCGGTTGCTTTGGCAGCCATACGTGGGCAGGAAGGAGAGGCCCATGGGATCGGGGACACAGCACGAGCACAGTGGGCTCCCTGGGGGAGAAAGGAGACAAGGTTCTGTCACTGCCACACAAGGAGAGGCCCCACTGGAAAGCGGTCTGAGCTGGGGTCTGTCCCCTGACCTGGCCAGGACGACTGCCAGGTGCTGGCATGACACTCCCTGCCTTTCCCTCTGTGGAGGGCAGGGATGGAGTGAGGTCTTGCCTGACACAACCTCCCTCTCCAAGAGACCTTCAGCTGGTACAGAGATGTTTGTTGAGTCAGCACCAGGACAGTCAGACCTTGCCCTGCTGAGACACACAGCCGCTGGGGTGATAAAGGGAGTGAATTAGGGCAGCAGATCTGGAAACAAGTAATGAAATTCCAGTGACACCGGATTTTACTGCACACCAGGCTGAGCTACCTCCCGGTTCCTATCCCAAGCTGCTGCCTTGTGTCTACCACCAGCCACACGCCCGAGGGGGCTCTGCGTTCCCGTTGCAAAGTGAGGCAGGATGGATCTGGGCCCAGCACTCTCCAGAGTGGGAAGGGACTCGCACCACTGACCTGTGCCAGGAACGTTACTGCTGAGAGAAACGTGGGCATAGCCAGGTTATAACTGTGCAGGAACTAGTCATCTTTTCCCATTTCTCTATGACCTACTGGAGTGGAGGCTCATTGGGGCTGAACTAACTATTAAAACCATGTTTTTTGATGTGCCTGTCAAGCTCCTTGATGCATAATTCTACTAGTTCTTTACCTGGCCAAAAGGCAAAGGAATGGATTTGATTTTGCTTGACCAGCATATTTTCCTGGAAAGCCCTAGATTATCAGGACAGAAAGGACTGTGAGATCACCCATGCTGAGCACAAATACTGTCCCTTGACTCGTAAAGAACCAAAGGCAATACTTTGGCACAAATCGGTTTAGTAACCTGTCTGCTTCTAAATACACTTTTTCTTGTCCAGCGTAGACCTCATGTGGTAACATAAGGTGGGAGTCACTGAGCAACACCAGAATCCATAGCTGAGCTGCATGGTCCTACACAGGTTCTTAACACTTCCTTGGCGGGGCCCCTGCCAATTCTTGGCATCATATTTACCTGAAGGGGGTAGTTGAACTGTCACCCACCCCATCTGTGGGCTTGCACACCAATGCCACCTCAAAGACAAGATCCTCCAGAACTGATCCAAAATCACCTGGAGCTAGTGCCACTGACTGTAATCTGGACTTCCAGCAGGAAAGATGGGATAGACCATCACTACTGGCACCTGAGATACATAGGTCTCTCAAGCTGGCAATTAAGTTTGGAGACAGGGTGAAAGGGGTTCTCCATCTAAAAGAAAAGATTTCCCTTTACCCCACTACTGGAAGCAGTCCTTCCCTCACCAGCTACCTTCCTGAACTGGAACGCTGTCAGATCTTCCTCTAGCTCAGCCTGTGGCATCAGTGGGACCTAGAATGGTTCCCAAGCAAGCTCTCCTAGAAGTCCAGGTTCACCAACCTGCAAGACAAGCAGTGTCTTCAAAGAGCCACTCTGGTACCTAGCATAAAAGTAGTTCTAAAAAAATGAAAAAGAGTGTATATGAAGAGCAGGAAGAAGTGACAAGGCAGAATAGCTGAACTACCATTTTGGATTGCTCTCCAATGAGAAATCTAGGAGATGTTCTCCTTTCCCAGAGCACAAACAAACTCCACATCCTCTTCTACACCCCTGGTAAATGTTCATTCTTTGCTACTATGTGACCCCCCAACAGAAAAGAGCCCCACAGAACACAACCTGACATGGTGCAATGTCTTCCTCTGATCTTTCCAAGCCAAGGACTTGCTTTAATTTCTGCAGTTAATATTTGAGTTAAATGGCTCATGACTAAGTGATGAAACTAATAACCTGCAGGGACTAGGGATGCTTTCTTTTATACTTCTGCTCTTGGTAGCGATGGGTCAGTATCTGCCTGCTAGGGATGGAGGCAGACAGATGTTTGATTTTAGGATGTTAGGAAGACTTCTCTCTAAGTAATTGTTGGACATTAGCAGCTTGCAGGTTCAGGAGAAATGCTTCTTGCATTTAGAAAACAAAACCTACAAGAAATGAGTTATTGGTATGACTAAAAAGTCTGTAATGCTCCTTTGATTGAGCACGTGATCACTAAATCAACATTACCACAGATCCAGGCATTCACGTGCATCCCACATATAAATTTTGACTAAAAGCCTTTTTTTTTTTTTTCCTTTTTAACACTAGGAAGGCTCAATTAGGAATTCTGTGGCTCATTTAAACATCAGAGTGCTACTTTAAGCATGACAGGAGGAGTTCACAAGAAAATCTATTCAATAACACAACATATAGTTTTTGCCACCTCTAACCACATTTGTAAAGATGTTTAAGACATTATGACATTTGTAAAGACATTAAGCCTAGGTTAGACTCTAAAACAAGGAAGCATAAAGGCCTGTCTGTGCATCAGCTGCCTTTGCATTGCTGCCTCTCATGCAAACTGAGCAAGTTTTTCTAATGCAGCTCCCACCCTAGTACCTAACACAGACACCTAGTGCAAATCCTGGAGGTAGGAACAGGAGGTGGGAAGAAGAGCCTTCCCATTTTCTGAAAAGCAGCAATTGCCTCCATCCCTTAAAAATAATTTTCATTTCATGGTTAGAAAGGGATAAAATATTTATCAGTCTTCAAAAACAATCTAAGCTCTTTGCTTAATAATTAAACCCAGTGGCTCTGCAACCTGAGGCAGCACAGGTATCTGTGTGGAAACTAGGGTCTCTGTAGTAATAATTCATCCATTAACCATTCATTTCATTTTCACTAAGGTTAAAACACTTGCAAATAACAGCTCACATGTGAATAAATGTAGAGTAACCAGTGTCATTTGCTCCAGCATCTTGATAGAGTACAGGAGAGTATGGTTTAGCCCTTTTTTTTTTTTTTTTAATTACAGATGGAAGGATGAATCTATCTCTGTCTGTAGACAGTAAGACCATCAAAATCTATCAGACTTTGCTAGTATTAAAAGTGGAGTAAATGATGTGATAATTAGGAGAGCCCAAGGTTTCTACCTGCCTGACAGTCAGTCCATGAGGGACAGGAATGTGAACTTCCCTGACAAAGGCATGTTCACATAGAGCAGACATTAGTGTTTTCTCACATCTTCTTGTGGTAGCTCTGAGCCTGTGAACCCCAGATGAGAAGAAAGGAATTATTCCAGTTACTCAGGCTCCTCAGAGGAGTCCAGGCACCCAGCTCCCACCAAAACGAGTAAGGGTTGGGTATTTAGCCCTAGAGCTAACATCTGTAACAGTCTTACAATGCTTGAATGGAATTTTACCAGGTTCCTACAATGCAGGCAGGGAAGAGCTTTCCTTCTTTCAAGAACTTACTGACTCTTGTACACAAAATTAAAATACACAATTAGATTTCCATTAACTTACAGCAAATTCTGCTGAATTGATCTAAACCTCCTTGTACTCCTGTATGAGATCATACTTTAAAGGCTCAGCCTGAACATAAATACTTAATGTAATAAATACAGTCTGAAATATTTGATCCACTTGGCAGTTTAATTGATCTACTACAGAGACTGACAGGAAATTAAATTAGTTCTGTCTTGTCTCCACCAACATCACATTTCAATAGTAACAATATTTGATCCAGAATTTTTGTTGTGGATCCTTCTGTTCAGTTTTAAGGTTCAGCTTCAGCTTAGGAGAGTGCAATGGGAAGCCCATATTGATCCATGAGTACTTAAAATATGCATTTTGTATTTCAACTCAACAGCTTAAAGAATTTAATAGGTAATCTTTCCAAAAGACAAAACCCGAATTCCCTCCGTTTTGCAGTTTTTGTATTTGTCAGTGTTTGATGTGATCAGCTGAATGCGATTCCTCATGATTTATGTCACACTCTGAGGAAACCCCTGCCCAGTTAAGGTTCATCAGCCTAATCCAAGATTTGGTTGGAGGAACAGCACCCGTTTCCTCTGTGTGCCTCAGATGCTTCCACCCCTAGGACTCCTGGTGTCTGGATATTCCCTAATCCTTGTTGCAGAGATTGAAAATGCACCTGTGAGGTAGGGCAGTGCCAGAGCTGGAATCAAAGCAACTTGCTTGAAGAATGCTTCTCTCTAGCAAGCTAAAGAAATTTTTTAAATTCTCTAAAGTCACAGTAGCAAGTAAATGAAGAGATATATATTTGCCAAACAGAAGCCCATCTCTATATTTGCTGTATTACATGGGTTTCCTAAGGTTACACACTGGGAAAGGTCAGTAAATCCATCATCAAGTACTAATGAACGACAGAGACAATAAAGAACCCAAAGAGTTTCAATTCCCCCCTCAGTCGTACGGTAAACCACGGGGCCTCATTTCAGTAAACACCAGTTCAAGGGTAAGTAGGGTCCTTGAATGCTTCTTTCTCAGCCTGTCTCTAACCCAGTGACGATGGGCAAACTCTCTTCATCTTTCCATAATAGAGATTGAAATGTAATGGATGGACAGTTCTGATTTTTTTTTTCCTGGATACTGCAATTAAGCCTCCCTAATACGAACAACAGCAACCACAGCAGCAACAAACCATAAAAGAGACGAATCAATGGGGCCCCGGAATATCCGCCTTGATGTGTGTAATGCAACCCTGCCTTTCCATCACTAGCACGGAGCTGCTGTGAAAACCAAGTGAGCTATAACTTGCACAGAGCAGAGCTGTGGGTGAATTATGAAAGTAATTCCCCAGCAAGTGTAATTATTTCTGTCCTCATACATTGCACTTTGAATCATGGGGTCCGGGGAAATTTGAGTGGAATGTGACAGATACATTTCTGGCCTCAGCCACCAGAACGGTGGAAGACTTCCGCTAAAACCCGGAGATTCTTGTTTACACCCATTAATAACGTTTCTACATTAATGAATTGCATTCATGCTGTCATCCATTAAGGAGGTACTTTGAGGTCTCTCTCTGTGCAGAACACTAGCTGCTCCTGATGACTCTATTGTTATACAGCCCATAAATAAAACAAGTATTTTCCCTTCATATTTGAGGTCTGCAATTAAATCTACTAAATGGACTGCAGATGCATGGTTTACAGTAAGTGATTCATCTTGGAAGATCATGGAAATGTCGAAGTCACCACAATGAAGTAGCATAGTTGTCATATTAGCACAATTTCAGACTGTGACAAACACCAGAAATTTCACATATATATATGAGTCAAAATTTTTCAACTGACAGACCAAACTTCCTGCAAGAACTGTATGTAATGGAGTAATATGGAGATTAAGAGGTACTTGGTAATAAGTACAACCTCTGGCATGATAATCTTAGGAAAGGGAGATGACTTATTTAAGTGAAAGAAAATATCTGTTCCGTTATTGAAGAGAAAATATTGGACCGAAGCAGAAATTTTCCAGCGGTGATATACTTTTCTCTGAGACAGTCTATGATCTGGATTACAATTCTGATCTCTGTTATCCAGATGGCCTGTTTGCTTCAAAGAGCATCCTATCATAGTAATGGCATTTCTTTAGGAGAATAAAAACTATTAGTTTCAGAGACAGACGGGTTCATAGAGCGTATTGCCTCAGGAGAAGAGTTTGCTGTCGCCTGTGCAAACCTAGCCCTGTGCTCCAACAATGTTCCTCATTTACCTGAAAGAAGCACACGCAGCACGCGGATCAGTGCTGCATGTTGAAGACTTGCAGAGCCACAGAAAGCATGAAGCAGTGAAGCTTACAGTGCAGTGCAGAGTCTTCCCAAAAGCAAAGCTGCAGCTTCCAACCCTGCCCTATGCCAGGAGATCTCATGTCTCTGCTAGCCTGACTTCATCTGGAAAAGTAAATTTATTATATCCTCGTGCTACAAAGTAGATCCGGGCAACATTTGCCCCAGACACTTTACATAGCCCTGGAAATCTGGGGCTGGAGCCAAGCAATCAACCTCAGAGAAAGCAAAGTACTGGTTTCCATACATATGACAGAATTCTCAGGTGGCACAATGAAAATGGCCCATAAGAGCCTAAAATAATTGTTAATTAGTTACATCACCATCAGCGCTTGTTATTTACTGTATAGATTTTAATTGTCTCCTTCTAAAGCATCAGACAAATATTATTCACTGCCACGAGCAAAGCAGTGGCTCACAAGCTCAACAAAGCCAACCCAGGCACTGAAGAGAACAAGCAGAAAACCTGAACTTCCCAGTGTTATCTGGTGCACCAACGGCACCCATTTGTCTGCACACCTCTTCTACTGTCTTACTGAAGCTTACAACTCACTTTACCAGCCAGGATTGCTCTCCCAAGGGTGAGAATGCACATCTATTTACAGGATTCGTATAGATGGCCTCGCTAGCAGCATTTCACTTAAAAATTTGCATAGAAGAAAGCTGGAGTTCTGAAAATCACAATGTGCTACATTATATTATGTAACTGGACTCTCCTAGTGCCAGAGAAGAAATACAAACTGGGCATTTCGGCAGTGAATATTCAGGTGGGTTCCTCTGATACCTTTCCATCTCTATTCAAATAATAATAATAAAAAAAAAGTCAATATTTACATGTGGGAAAATTTTCAGGGACACAGCCTTTTAGCCTGGGCAACTGGCTATTTAATGAATTTCTCTACAAGAGATTCAGGAATGAGATCCCCCCTGTCCTTAGTTATGAAATTTAAATATAGCAAAAAGGAGCAAATAGTATTTCAATTTAGAGGAAGAATGGTAAAATCACATAAGAAAGTCTGAAGTTCATCTAAATAAATAAAGCTAAAAACCTTCATAACAATTTTTTCAGGCCAAATAAAACATTATTTCATTCTGTTTGGCTTTATTTGGATTATTTTCCTTTAAATTGAACTAAATTTAAAAATAAAGCAAGCAAAAATAAAGTATTGAGATATTTAATTTTGCAAATGCCTAGCTGCAATGCTTTAAGGAAGAAACAGTCTTTACTTCCATCTGAAACTATTCACAGAACTCAACTCTGTTTCCAAATCATTGGACCTTTCTGAAAACACATTTATCCCTCAATAATGTCTTTATCTAAATAATTTCACCTGGACCTACTCCAGAGAGGTTGCTTCTGCCCGATGAAATAAGCAAGTTTCTACTTCAAGACCTCCTGGCCCCAAGGCAGAGAGCTAGAGGACCCAGGCAGTACAACAGCCACTGCCCACAGGATCCAGGGAGACAGTCACGCTTCAGGTTTTATGGGTTTTCTTGATCCAAAATCCTTATTCCTCACCCAGCAGGACAGCAGTAACTACACGCTGTGGTTGGCTTCCACTCTTTCAGAAAGACAGGAGGACAGGGACAGGACATTGGACTTAATACGAAACTCAGCAGCTGCAAACATTGGTTTCAGGAATATACCTTGGCCATGATGATTTCCCTGGAAATACTTCTAAGGCGCATGAGGCATGTCAGAAAACATAGGGAGATATAAAAATACGTTTACATTCTTAGAGGATGGTCTCAAACGTTAGGAAGCTTTCCTCACAAAATAGATAATATCCTGGGGCGTTCAGTAAATTGGTGTGCTGCTTTGTGCTTGGCACGGGTATGAGATTTTGCATCCTATAAATCTATAAATTGAATTCATTCTGCTTACACCCTTAGACTTACAAATTGTTAGACGAGGAGCCACTAATGGATAAGCTGGTGATTTATTTTTAAAAGATGCCTACCCCTGCTTTTGGGGCACTTAAGTACTGTGGGTACTGGATGTACCCTTCTTGATGCCAGGTCCCAGGAAATGAGGAACTGCTTTGTACGCTCCCTATCCCCATGCACACGCTTTATTCAAGATCTCGGGGAGTCCTGCTGTTGAGGAGGGGAGAGCTCTGCATCGTGCAGAGATCCATCGTGCAAAGGCAAAGCGCAGATGAGGCATCAGCAATGGTGCTAGGTAATGTAAAATGCAAAAGCACGCGTATAACTAATTTATTGGTATAAATTTGACTCTAAAAAGTAAAAAAGTATGTGCAAAGTAAATGTTAAAGAATCAAACCCTACCTGCCTTACTCCTAGAGACAAACCTTGACTTCATTAAACCCAGCTGAGTGGGATTGCCCCAAACCATGCTGCGGTTCACAACAGGTGACTCACTCCTGAACCTGCCACAGGATGCACAACACACAACCAGTGCCATCGGTGCCAATCCTAACAGAAGGATCCGTCCTTTCCTATGGGCTTCTCCACAGGCACAGCTGGGCACACACCCTTGGCAAGCCCGAGCTTGTCACGCAAGTCAACCCAAGCCGCTTACCTTTTAGCGAGGCGACGTGGGATAAAGCTTGGGCGTAGGTGGCTGTGTTGAGCAGAGTCCCTGGCAGGCAGGAGGGGAAGAAGGGTCCGGCGGGACCAACTGCTCGACTCAGGCTGGAGGAGAAGAGAAAAACAGCTTGCAAAAGCAAAACCAGCTGGTTCAAGACAGTGTATGTGTGGGAACAGAAACGTATATTCATGTCATGATCACGGCTCCACGGGCCCAAAGCCTGGCTAAACATGAGCCTTCCAGAGCCACCAGCATCCCTGCAGGGAGCACCTTTGCCCACAAGCTGCAAGATAAATACTTCATCTTCTCATGATTTAGGCTGTACCTGAAAACGTCAAGTCTCAGCCTGGCATGAGGCAAGTCTGTGTGTATGTGCATGCCCACATTCAGAAAGAGGTGCTTGATTCACGCCTTACTCTTACCTCTGCTGGATCTCCAGATTCTCCTTTTTATTCCTGGTTTGATCTGCTGGAGAAGGGGAATTTAAATTCCTCACAGGAGGAGCCACCTCGGCCATTGCTTCCTTAGAGCCTTCCTGGTCGGAGGCGCCTCTCTCCGTTTTCCTCCATTTGGCTCTCCGATTCTGGAACCAAACCTGGAGCAGGAGAGCAGGCAGTGCTGAATACCGTGTTTAGCTGCGCGTGAAGCAGGGAAACTGTTCATAAGCAGCCCCTCTCGTGGAATCAGTCATTCTGAAGCCTGGTAACATTTTCCATCCTCACCATTATTTTGTTTGGGCCTGAAAAATACATTTGTATCTGCAGTGCTTCTGTGTCTGGAGCATTTCTGTGTCTACAGACATCCTCTGGGATGTCTTAGCATGTTAAGAAAAAACCCAAGCCTCCGCTGTTACTGTACCAGTTAGCAAAACATTTAAGCCCATGCTTACCTTATGCACACATCTAACATTCATTTCTGTCTTAATACATATTTAAGTACCTTCTGTATAGGGACAGAATTAAATGTGTATCTAAGTACTCAGAAGGAATCATGTGTAAATCTCTAAATGAGCTCCTGCTGCAACGAGAGGGTTCACAACTGCAAAGCCAGGGATCAGGGTGTCTCGGCCATCCCTTCCTCCATGCAGTAGCTGCTGGTCATATCGGCCAGACCTACATTTAGGTGACTTGAGGAAGAGTAAGCACTAATCTTGGAAGACCTTTCTTCAATCTAATAAATATTACTTTTCAAAACTTATTTTTCTTTGATATGCACTATAAATATTCATGTTCTTTAGTCCCAACACTTCTGTTTTTTAGGGTTTTTTTCCTATTTACCTTGGGGCTGATGCTCTGAAAGCACCTTATTGAGGTGGAAAATGCCAAGCTTCCCTTGAGGTTAGGAAATCCACATCTTAATACATGGCTTCAAGTACAGGCAAGATTGTTATTATTATGATTATTCCCCTCCTACAACTCCATTTTTAGTTAGCTGCCTTTTAATTGCATGTATCAGCAAATGTTGAATAATGATTTTATCTATATTCTAAATTTAGAGCAGTTAAATGCAAAGCAAAATGCAGACACTTTCTTGCGTCTTAATTGAATGAAGGTCACAGCTATAACAACATTTAATTGAGCTATTTTTCATTATCATATTTTAATGACTTTGCACTGACAGTTCGCCTGCTTCTGAGGAAAGAGCATGATGAAGTCGTTTATTTCCCTATTTAGTTATTGTTTGACAACATCATCTTCGATTAAGACTCTGCTTTATAGCACATTAATCATATTTGAATGAGCAAGGGGTATAAATGTAAACATATCTCCCATCCTCTGTGTTTCCCCGTGTCCCTGCATGAAAGCAGGCTAAACAAATGCTTGCATCTATTGTCTGTTTGCATAATAGCCAACAACAAGGCTAAACACCAGTCCTCAGCAACCTAATTGTCACCACCCCTATCTCACCCTTGCACCTTTCAGAAAGAAGTTATGATCTTCCACTTCTGAATGCTCAATAATTGTCCCATTTATCTCAATTTGCAGTTCAGTCTTTAGGCACCAATAGCCAAAATGGCATTTTTTAAGCCAGTACCTACAATGCACCGGCAAAAGGAGATTTTCATTTCCAAATAATAATCAGTTTAATTTGCCCACATATGACCAATGATTCATGTTCAGATTTAATAATCAGGATCACATAATCTGATTATAGGAGAAATAATTTGTTTACAATCCCCAATTTACTATGGTGAATTCCATTATCTCTCTTCAGCCATTGGGTTTTAAGAGATACTAACATGACCCTAGGGAACAAAAGGCAAGCTATTATATTTCCTACAATTAGGTCTTTGCATATTCTTAACCCCGAGCACCCAAATAAGTAAATAAAAATACAGAAAGGCATGAAGAAAACTCGGTAAATAAAATGAATTCGTAATAGTGCTCAAAAAATGGCTTGGAAACCAGCAGCAGATGCCTGCAGAGGTATATGGATCCATGTCTTACAACTGCAGGACTGCCGCTTTTGGTGTCTTGGAGACCCTTAAATAAAGTTAATTGCTGGATGTGGAATGGAGCAAAATAGAGAGAAGGGAAAGTGGGGCGAAAAGAGGGGAGAAGAGAGCTGTTGCGGGCAGTGGCACTTCTTGCATCACGGTGAGTGTGTGGGGATGGGTGTGCAGGCTCTGCCGCTGTCTAAATTAGGCTTTTGGAAGGTAGGCAAACGGGAGGCAAGTTGAGGGCGTGCGGAGGATTCTTCCTGGCAGCTGGGCTCCCCGCAGCTGAGTAACCCCTCGCTTGACAGTGGCCGTGGCGGCTTTGGAGAATCTCCTCTCAGCCCTTTTCTCCGCACACTCCCCCCGCTCCAAAAGCAAGGAAATGGATGTGCATTGATGTAATTTAGTACCTTGGAGACGCGGACAAATTAGTGTAGAACATTATCACTAGTTAATTATGAATGACCGATTAATCAACCTAATCTAATATTCCACATTATGTTGATGTTATTAAAGTGCATCATGAAAATGACAGATCGTCTTCATTTGCGTTCTTTGGCCAAATGTGCACTCTGCAGTGGTGATGTCAAAAAAAAAAAAAAAAAAAAAAAAAAAAAAAAGGAAAGGAAAAGTTTGCCAATTTGAATACCCCAGAGTTAAATAAATTGTGTACCTGCACGCGGGCCTCCGTGAGGTTGATTTTCATGGCCAGCTCCTCCCTAGTGAACACATCGGGGTAGTGGGTTTGGGCGAACACGGCTTCGAGCGCCTCGAGCTGCAGGGGGAGAGCGGAGGGCGGTGAGGGCGGCAGCGGGGCCGGCGGCGGCGGCGGGGCCGGCCCGGGCTCCTACCTGCTGCAGGGTGAACGTGGTTCGGTTGCGGCGCTGCTTCCTGCGCAAGAAGCCGTCGTCGAAGTCCCCGGCGGAGGGAGCCGCGAAGGGCGCCGCGCCTGCGGGCGGCAGCGCGTGAGGGCCGCGCGGGACGGAGCCGGGGCCGGGGCCGGGGCCGGGGACAGCGCAGGTTGTCCCAGCGCTGTCCCCGCTGGGGGACGGGGAGCCTCTGACACCGCCAGTGGGGACACCCCGCCGCGAAAGGGACGGTTTCGGCCCATTTATGTTTTAAAAGGGCGCAGAGAGCCCCTCCCGTGGCTGAGGCGGGAGTGGGAGTAACCGCGGGAAGCTGGAAGTTTGGCCCGCTCGGAGATGGGGAAGGGAGGGGACAGCCCGCGCGGCTGCACCCAGGGCACTGTCCCCTACCTACCCTGCTCCCCGAATGCTTAATTCACTAATCACCAGTGCCCTGCCCCGAGGTGCCTCGGCCTCCTTGTTTATTTGCTGACAACATAGGATGAAAATAAAAGAGTCACGGCTAAATAGCAAAACCTTCCAAGCGGCGCCGCGGACTTGGGACCGTCCTGCGGAGCGCGCCGCGACACGGGGCTTGTCCGGCGGCGACATTTGGGAAGTAAATCCTGTCCCTCATCCCGCCTGGCACGGACGGGATAGCCCTGGAAGGGGCAAATTACGGAATAAAATGACACTTCACCTCGAGGGGCCACTCACTTCATCTGCGGGCACCCAGAGCTGCCGGAAAGGGGCTTTTCTGTTGCTGCTGCTTTGGGGGAGTTATTCGGTTTTGTATTTTTTCCTGCCTATTTGCTTCGGTTTCCATTGGGGCCGCCCTGCGCCGAGCAGCTTCCCCAGGGCCGCCCTCCCGCGCCGGCCGCTGCGGCGACCCCGGCCCTGGGGCCAAACTCAGGCCCAAACCGAAACCAGCCGGCAAAAAAACGACACCCACCCCACACCACCCCCCCCCAAAAAAAAAAAAAAAAAAAAACAGGAAAGGAAGAAAAAGGAACAAACAAACCCACGCGTTTCGAGCCGTCTGCCAAAAACTAGCGGAGAAGCCGCCGGGCTGCACGGGCAGCGGGGCGCAGCGGGGACCCGGCTCTCGCCACCAGGCCGCTGCTCGGGGCAGGGGACAATTTCCCCGGGGCTGCGGGAGGCCCTGGCGCGGGGGAGCCGCGAGCCCGGAGCCGGGACCCGGCCCGGCCCGGCGGGGAAGCCCCAGGCTCGCGGCGGGGCCCGGTCGCCGGGCTGGACGGCGGGGACGGGGACGGCCCCTGCGCTGCGAGTGGGGTGCGCGGGGCTCTACGCGTGTGCGCCGTGACCCGCGCAGACCCCGGCTGCTGCCGTTAAAAAAGAAAAAAGTACCTAACAAAATTTCTTAAAAAAATACCCCAAATCATTTCTTTTTCCTCTCTCTTTTTGTTTTCGCACTCTGCCTTTCCTCCCTCCTCCCGCAGAATGTTCGTAAAATAACATTAAAGATTTATGCGGTCCCTTTGCTGGAGGGAGGAGGCGTGACCACGAACTGAAAGTGTCCCGATTAGAGCCATGACACCAACATCTGTGCTGGGAGGGGAGAAAGGCTTCTCTTTCGTAGCCCGAGGCTCAACGGCGGGATCGCTATCCACAGAGGGGAGGCAGGTGGCAAAACGACGGGGAGGGGGGTGTAAAAAACGAGGCCTTTCCAACAAGAATCAAATGAGAAAACAAAAACAAAGAACAACAACAACAACAACAACAAAAAAAGCCATCCATTTTTATCTATCCTGTGACAATAGAGGGGAAAGCTGGGGGCAGGAGGGGGGTAACTGGGTTGCAGTTTGGGGTGTTTTTTCTCCTTTGAAAAAGGCGGTGCGCTTTTATACCGAGTTAATCTCTCTGCGGGTTCGCGCTTTACCTAAGCGCGTGTGGGCTCCCGCGCGCGCGAGGGCGCCGAAAGCCGCTGCCCCTCGGCGCGCGTCGCCCACGCGCAGCACACGCGTGTGCGCGGCGGCCCGCGCAACCCCGCGGCCACTCACTCACCGTCCAGCTGCGGCGGGCAGTGGAAGTAGAACATGGCCCTGGGGCCGCGCGGGCACCTGCGGACACGGAGAGAGGGCAGCGGGGCCAAGAGTGGGTGAAGGAGCAGAGGAGAGGAAGTCCCGCTGAGGCCGGAGCCCCGAGGAGCAGCCTCTGCCTCGCGCTGCAGGCATCGCGCGGAACAAGGCGGGGGCGGAGAGCCCCGCGGTAGCCGCACGAGCACCAGCATCAGCCAAACTTCGTTGCCCTCATCCCCCCCGCCCGCTTCCCCAAACAGTAGACGATATCTGCCCGCTTTGCATCCCCCATCCCTCCATCTACGCACTCATCAATCTATTCATCCGTCCATCTAGATATTATCTCAACTATTCCCTTCCAGATAAAATAATTGCAAGCAGAAAAAAAAAAAAGTCTTAGAATCTTAGAGCTAAGAACTGACGGCTTAAAAAACAATCATAAAACAACAGCAAACCTCAATTCTTTCTGAATGAAATAGTCATAAAACCTAAAAGCTCTCTTCCTTTTAAAACATCCACACACTGAGAGCTGCGCTCAGGTTGGAAACCAATGTCCTCAGCACGAAAAAATGAAAAGTCAAATATATACGCAATTATAACAAATATCCAGAAAGCAAATTAAAATAACAATCCATACCTAAGACGCTGTACAATCACCACTAAGGTTCGGGGTGTTTTGCGCTGGAATAAGGCGCTGGGAGTCGCTGGCTGCGGAGACAGAAGGGCTCTGTGGAGTTCTGCAAGTGGCCAGATGTCTTTATATCTGTCTACAGCATGCTCTGCCTCTCAGCACTTGCCTTTATAATCTCACGCATAATTGGCCTTAATCTGATTATTTCCAGCGCTGTCTACAGTGAGTAACTTGGATAGGTCTATTGGGCCCTACAAATGGCCCACGTGGTGCGTGGAGGAGAGGGGGAAAAAAAAAAAAAAAAAGAGAGAGAGAGAGAGAGCGAGAGAGAGAGGAGAGGAGAAGAAAAGGAAAGCCCGTCATTTCTCAGCAAACGTCAGGAATGCGAACAGCACCAACAGACCCCCCGTATTTCGGAGCGTTTCGCGCCCCGGGGCTCGGCGCGGCCCCGTGGGTGCCGCGGCTCCGAACCGAACCGAACCGCCCGCTCGCTCGCTCGGGGCGCCGCTCCGCACCCGCCGGGGCTTTCCGAGCGCTCGTAGCGAAGCAAAGTTTGATTTTGTTCACAGCGAGGGGTCCCTGGATTTATGCTCGCTTCCCGTCTGCAAATGATATGCGGCGGGACCCTTAGCAATTACTTTTAAAATGCTTTCGAGACGGAGGCTCAGCGGAGAGAGATGGCCCTTGCCTCAGCCCGGGTGAAAATTAGACTTTAAAGTACCCAGATGAAATTTTCGAGTCAGGGACGCGGGATTGGATCAAATCACATAAACTGCAAAAAAAGCAAGTATAATGGCGCATAATTGGTTCTGTAATAGCATTACACAAGGATAATAGCCTGTTATGGCCCCCTGCACATTAAGTGCTTCCCTGGCGTAAAGCCTTTATGATATTAAAGGGGGAATATAATGATATTTTGGTTATTAAATGCGTGTAATTAATTTATGCACCACTGAAAATAAAGTTGGTATTATGACCCACTCAAGATGCATCAGAAGATGTAAGTCAGACAACTGTTGATAAGTTCTGGTGTCTATGTTACGTCTAGACTGCTGATTTTATTTTGGAACAATTGCTTCTCCGGCAGACTACACAAATTTAATATTTTATAAACATAGTAATGTTCTGTGCAGGAAGGGCGAGCAAATCTACACAGGCTCTCTTAGATCTAATGGGAGTTTAAAGACATAGCACATTCATACCAGAGCAAAGGAGAGGGAGACAGAGAATACAGGTGCAGCAGTAGATAGAGATTTTAAAAAGAGGATGCATTTGGAAAGTTATTCTGCATATACGGGCTCATTAAATAAACACTAATAAACTTTAGAAATATCACCTGTTCTATTGCCTTTTACACTAGGAAAGGATGTGGAAATCCCCCTAATGCATACCTAAGCTTAAAGTATATTTCAGTCTTAACAAACATTATTTTAGCAAAGCAAGGCAGAAATTAATTCTATTGGAGATGCAAATAGATCTTAACTTTTATTTTATAATTGTAGCACAATAGTGATTTAGAAGTTGCATTCAAATTTGTGCATGCATACATATATATGTATTCATATAAACACTTTAGGAAAAGCACCCCTTAACAAAAGGCACTGACTTACCACCCGGGCAAGTCTCTGTACAGAAAAGTGATTTATGAATCACTTTTATAGCACCATGCAAACCCATGTTTTGAATACAGTTGTACTCCTTAACATAATAGCACAAGCTCTGGGTCAATTAACTTTAAAAATAAGAAAATACTGAGGTGCTATCTGGATCTTTCCCTAGCAGCCTCTGCATCCAGACCTTTAAAATCCATGCAGGACCAGCTCTGCAGGAACCCTCTGCACAGAGGGAAATGAGCCCTTTCCTTTCGCTCTGACGTCGGGCAGAGAGAGGAGGAGAGAGGGAGAGAGAGACTGAGAGTGTTTTATCATAAAACCCCCTAATAAAATAATAATAACTTCATTATGGCGCTCTCAGGCCTTGCTCTAGTCAGGGGGCTGCATTGCTCTTTTGGCTCCGAGACTCACTTTCCCCAGCAGTTTGCAGCCTGCAAGTTCAGCGTATTCCAGGAGGCAAAGAGGGTGAAATGGAGCGCGGGGAAGTGCTCCAAGTCGCTGCTTTTTAAATAGAAGCACAAGGACCCGGAGCCGGGCGAGGCTCAACCTCTCCCAGGGAGCAGCAGCTGCAGAACAAGGAGAGAGCTAAGCAATATATCCCCTCCCCACCCTTCGCCATTTCAGCGCCTGTTTAATTTTAATGCACGAAGCGCGGAGTTGACATAATTAAAAGTTAGTCCGGGCCCGGCTGCGGCCGCCCGGGGCGGCGCGTTCAGCACCGCGGAGAGCGACCGCGGAGCCGCCGCCGCGCCCGGCCCGGCCCAGCCCGCAGGGCCCGGCCCGGTAAGGCCCGGCCCGGGTAAGGCTCCGGGTCTAGCGTCCCTGCCCGCGGGGGTGGCCCTGCCGCATTTCTGTAGCAGTCTGGTTGCCGAAGGGCATCTTAAAAGGCAGCCCGAAGCATGAAATAACACGGACGAGTGACAACATCCCGTTAAAAATAAGTAAATAAGTAAATAAGTAAATAAGTAAATAAGTAAATAAGTAAATAAGTAAATAAGTAAATAAGTAAATAAGTAAATAACAAAGCAAGGTGCTTAAAGTCTCTCTCTCACATGCACTGACACATACTGATGTTAGTCGTCATTACTAGGTCTGCAAAGGAAAGTCTAAGTAAATATAATTCTGCATAGACTTTCTCCTGCTTGTCATGTATCTCAGAAAAAAAAATTGTTTCTTTGCTGCACACACGAACACATCTCTCCTATAACAATAACATTTTAGGATTGTGCAGATGAGCAAAATCACCGAAGGGGCATTTCGTTTCCAGAGCCTTCAGCTCAGAGGGGATGGTCTGCAAACCTCAGGAGACTCTGAATGGCTCAAGTTGGAACAAACACCTCGCGGGGTTTTTCTCATCTAAACACTTCCTTTCCCGTGATTCCCAATATCTGACACCCCCCATACAAACATATGCAAAAGACTAACAGCTAAAAGGTTATTTTACCTTAATTCATGTGCAGTAAAATGTATTTTCCAATTAACCAAATTTGCCGATTTGTCCCGCTTGGACACTCTTATAATTTATAATGTAAAAGTGTTCTTTCTTTATCTAAAGACCAAGGTGACTGCTTTTAATTTTCTGTAACCTCTTTACACTTGATGTTCACCAGACTCATAATGTTAATTGGCTTCATATACGGATCATCAGTTTAATGAAGAAATAAATCCTATGTTGCTTTATGTCCCTCTGTTTTAACAATGATTGCTTTAATGAAGAATGTGACGTGTTCGAAATCAAACTGCAGCACACATTACGGGTTTTTTTTTTTTTTGTTTTGTTTTGTTTTTTAAGACTGAAATGCTTGTTTAAGGCTAAAGCCATGAGATTTCTGTATTTCAAAAGCTCACATTTAAATCATTTCTCATGGAAAATATCACCACATTCTGCAGCAGAGAACATTTTATTTCTGTGATCAGAGACTAAGTAATATAGACTTGTAATATAAACATCACAATTAGGTTATCAAAATATTTCTGAGCTGAATGTATACCTTTGCAATTTTCACTCATAATTTAAGTAAAGGTCCTACTGAGTTCAAAAGTAGCTATGCCTGCCTAGATAAAGATTCTCTGTGGCTAGCAATACATTTCTGTTTTCCTACTATATTTTCACTATTTGCGTATATATGAATAAAAGTAGGGGTGGGGAGAAAGAACTGTCAGTTCACATACAAAAGCTCTGGATTGCTGTAATCTATTTCTCCCCATGGGGATTTTAGGATTTCGGGAGCTAGGGTAAAACGTAATGAAACATGGGCTCCTAGAGGTAGGTGACTGCAAATCAGAGCATCAATTAGGCCAAACTGGAAAGCAGCAATTAGGCCAAACAGCACGTGCCACCTACGCTAGCAGGTTTAAATTGTACAAAGCAAATGCACTCCAGTGATTGAACTTTTACATCTCTGGTCCCCCACACAAGGAAAGTAAGACTTCTTTTATTTAATGGGGAGTAGGTATATAGGATATATACTAGGTATATATTTTTTTCTCATTTAAAGACTGTTATCTGGACTGCAATTACATAATTCTTAGACATGATTAGAATTACATGATTCTTGATAGGCAGCAAAGAGGAAAGTCTCTAATCAAAGCCTGCACCTGGGCTGAGCAATCAACATACTTGGCCAGCAGTTTCAGGGCATGGCAAGGAAAAGGCAGGGGAAGGGAAGAAGGATATAAGCTTAAATTACACACCATTGCAAAGCCCTTTGGTGTGCCATGCCTGACCCAATGACCTCTTAGGTCTGTGTCCTGTTTGATACTTGCTCAGCCCAGG